CCTTCTGCCATCTGTAGAGCTACCTTGTGACGCTACAGCTGGAAATGAACGAGCTTCCGACCGTTAACAAATATAGACCCCACACTACACGCAATTCATTACTCCGTGCAATTTAATGCGTCCAACGCAAGCGCTTGCAGCCAAATTTGGCGACAGCAATTCTAAGCCTGCTTCGGATTGTTTGCAATCAATTTGTACATTATAGCCTACCTACAAAAGCCGTTTCTTAATTTGAATAATAATCCACGTTTGTCTCTACCATTTAGTGCAAGTATTCCCTTAGGGAATACCAAGGAAGAGGATTGTTACACTTTGGAGAATTACAAAGCAGTACCCAAAGAAACTAATTGTCAGTTGTTCAACAATACCGGAGAGAAGTGTTAAATCTTCAATCCATGCCCAAAAATAGCATGCGATATGAAGCCAGTGAAGATAATTGTTCAAGTTGTGCTGTTTTTGCGTTGTTGCATAACTAGCATAAGATACCCAATATTTTTACCAAATTTTCATTAATTTAGGGAACGATGTGAGTCTGAAGAGTATGTGATTAAAAAGTCGATGATGACAAGGATGAACAACAATAAGACGGTAGTAAAGGTTCCTCTGGTAAGTATCCGACGCAACCGGAAGAAGGAAACACAATAAGGTACAGATAATGCTGTTTTTAATGGAACCCCATTTACCACATCGGGGCCTCCCGAACCTCACTGATGATCTGATTGGCACGTTGAAGTCCCTAGAATAAACAATGTGAGTTAATGTATTTTGAGCACCCAACTCTGTCTACTGTTTGGCTAGTCACTGTGGAGGAAATACGTTTAGCTATACTACATAAGTTAAAGGAGACTGAATTTTAAATACTAACCCTACGGTGTAGTTCTCGCATCAAATCAGACGCAAGTCCTCGCCGAACTGGCAAAAGTAAGTACAATAAGCTTATATCTCTTTAAACTTTCTTGCACCAAGTGGGCAAAGTCAAGGACATCGAATAGCTCATACTGAGCGACCGATTTGTGCTTGAATTCATAAAATCAATGAGAGCGAGTTTTGAGTTCGTTTGTTGAAAAAAAATCACGGACCTTGAGCATCTCCAACGCCTCTCTTCGCCGTTGCGCCACGTTCTCGCTCTCTTTCAGCAGTCCGTCGTATTCATCGTTCTTGTATAAATTGCTCACCAACTCCGACTGCAAATTATCTTTCACGTAGTTGACCAGAAAGTTCATGATTGCCTTTGGCACAGAGTCAAGAATGTTCTTGCGCACAATTTGGAAATACGAGCGTATCAGTTGGCCTGATATGGATAAAAGACCATAGCCTCTACACTAGGAATGACCATATCAAAGGTTTGGTACGCAGCGTTGCCAAAGCATGTTTCATGGTGAAGTTACAACAAATTCAAATGTGTTTCTGAAATCAACGCCTACTGCCAAAGGTGTGGAGTCGTGGGGTCATCGGTTCCAATAATAATCACCATTCCAAAAGATAGTGTCAACTCCTAAAGTAGCATAAAATATAACCATGCTTTAAAACAAAAGATTGTGAATAAAGCAGTTCAAATTTGTTGCCAACGGAGCGGAATCCTGTG